CATTGCCATCAAAATCTTTTTAAAAAATATTTTATAACTTTTACTTTAAACTTGGGGTACTTATACAGGATTGTTCCATAGGTAAACTCATGAACTAATTTACACTCCCACCAGAAGTGTATAAGTGTTCCCTTTTCTCCACAACCTCATCAGCATCTGTTATTTTTTTACTTTATAACAATAGCCATTCTGACTGGTATGAGATGATATCTCATTGTAGTATTGATTTACATTTCTCCAATGATTATGACATTGAGCATTTTTTCATATGGTTGTTGGTCGCATGTATATCTTCTTTTGAATAGTGTCTGTTCATGCCCTATGTCCACTTTTTTAAAGGGTTGTTTGTTTTTTGCTTGTACATTTGTTTAAGATTCTTTTTTTGGAGACAGAGTCTCACTCTATCCCCCTGGCTGGAGTGCAGTGGTGTGATCTCAGCTTACTGCAACCTCTACCTCCCTAGTTCAAGCGATTCTCATGCCTCAGCCTCCTGAGTAGCTAGGCTTACAGGCGCATGCCACCACACCTGGCTAATTTTTGTATTTTTGGTAGAGATGGGGATTTGCCATGTTGGCCAGGCTGGTCTCAAACTCCTGACCTCAGGTGATCCGCCTGCCTCAGTCTTCCAAACTGCAGGGATTACAGGCATGAGCCACTGGCCTGGCCTCAAGTTTCTTGTATATTCTGGATATTAGATCTTTGTTAGATGTATAGTTTGCAAATATTTTCTCCAGACATCAAAATCTTTCTTTTGCTTAGGTCGTTTGGCCTGAAATATAGAGGTTCCTGTATGTCTGTCTTTTAATGTTGTTCATGATAATTTTAATACTTAATCGCATCTTCCCTTTGGACTTTTAAAGTGAATGTCAAAAGCATAGGAGCAGGCTGTGATTAATTAACATATTACTTCAAGAAGAAAAAATTAGTGAGAACACACAACTTATATAAAAACATTATCTTTGAAAGACATTGGAAAACATTTTATTTCTTGTTTACTTTGTGTTCTTGTGTAAATATCAAAGAGAGAAAAACCCTAGTGAATTTAATTGCATGTATGTGTGTTTCTCTGGCTATATAATTTTCAAGACCCTATGGAATATGAAAATATAAAGCCTCTTGTTCAAAAATTACTAAAAATTTCAACATGGTAACAGAACAGCATTAATCTAAGTGTGGACTCTTCTGAGTGCAGGGCCCTGGCTGCACGGGTCACATTTCCCATGAATCATTTTATTTTTCTCCCCAACTTAATTGGTTCAGAATTGAGGTTTCTCTAAGGAAATTTTCTTTTTATTTACACTAGAAGTATGTGAATGATTTAAAATTCATGATGTGTTGAGATCATGCTAAATGGGCCTACCAAATAAGAAGAAAATAAAGCTTGTAAGAATGTGGACTTTGGCTGGGCACAGTGGCTCACACCTGTAATCCCAGAACTTTGGGAGGCTGAGGAAGGTGGATCACCTGAGGTTAGGAGCTTGAGATCAGCCTGCCCAATATGGTGAACCCCATCTCTACTAAAATTATAAAAATTAGCTGCATGTGGTGGTGGGCACCTGTAATCCCAGCTACTTGGGAGGCTGAAGCAGAAGAATGGCTTGAACCCAGGCGACAGATGTTGCAGTGAGCCAAGATTACGCCACTGTGCTCCAGCCTGGGCAACAGAACAAGACTCCATCTCAAAAAATAATAAAAATAAAATAAAATAAAAAAGAATGTGGACTTGGCAGTCAATTCAAAGTCTGACTGCATGGCTGCCTTCAAAGACTCAAGGGTTGGCTTCAGGGACACACAAACACCCTCAAATTGTAATTAAAATTGTGTGTGTGTGTATTTGTATATGCCTTTTTCAGGGAAGAGCTTTTATCTGATTCTCAAAGGAATCAGTAATCCCAAAAAGCTTAGGGACCACTGTTCTATGACATTATTTATCCTTTTTTTAAAAAAGAAACCTGTGGCAAATCATGATGTGCTTTAATTTTGTTTATTCGTTTATTTATTTTACAGATGGGGTGTCACTGTCTCCCAGGCTGAAGGGTAGTGGTGTGATCATAGCTCACTGCAGCCTCAAACTCCTGGGTTAAACCGCTCCTGCCACATAAGCCTCCCGAGTAGCCAGGACTACAGGTCTGTGCCACTGCACAGGGCTACTTTAAAAAACTTTTTTTTTTTTTTTTTTTTGTAGAGACAGGGTCTTGCTTTGTTGCCCAGGTTTATCATCTGCTTTTAAAGGCCTCTGCTGCTGGCTGGTTTAAAAACTTTAAATACAAGGAGTTGTGCAGATTTTTTAAATTATTCTTATTCCAACATATAAAAAGAAAAAACCATGAAAAGAGAAATATAGGAATAAACACAATAAGAAACCCAATCAGAGAAATGAAATCTAAAAGGAATCCTTACGCTCTAGCTGCTACCATCAGAAAATTTGAGAGATCATAAAATTGACCTTTCATTGCAGTATACCTTATGTAATCATGTGATTAATAATATTATCATATTTATTAAGCACTTACCGTGTGCCTGGCACTGTCTCAGTAATCATTTACCACTCTTAACTTACTTAATCCTCTTAACAATTCTATAATCCCCACTGTAGAATTGAGGAATCAGAAGCAAATAGAGGTTAAGAATTTCGGCTGGGCACCGTGGCTCACACCTGTAATCTCAACATTTCGGGAGGCCAAGGCTGACAAATTGCTTGAGTTCAGGAGCTCAAGACGAGCCTAGGCAACAAAGTAAGACCACATCTCTACAAAGAAGACAAAAATTAGCTGGATGTGGTGGCACGTGCCCGTGGTCCCAACTACTTGGGAAGCTGAGGTGGGAGGACGGCTTGGGCCTGGGAGGGAGAGGTTGCAGTGAGCCAAGATCACACCACTGTACTCTACCCTGGGTGACAGAGCCAGACCATGTCACACACAAAAAAGAATCTTGCCCAAGGACACAGAGTAAATGGTGGAGACAGGTTTTGAATTGGTCACAAAGTTAATATTCTTATAAGCTTTATTTCCTTCTTGATTATTAGTAGGTCCACTTAGCAAGATACATCAGATAGCTTTCACTTAATAGATATCAAGAATAAAGAAGTAGAATAAAGAACTGAGAATTCCTCCTTCCAGACAACGTTTTCCCTTGGCTTCCTGGACACCACTGCTTTGTGGTTCTTCCTACCTCGTACCGGCTGCTCCTTCTTACTGTCTTTCTGTGGGATTCTCCTCTTCTCCTTTTTAGGCCTTGATCCTCTTCTTCCCTCCATCCTTGGACACTCCTTGGGTAAACCAATCCAATCCCATAACTATAAATACTGTCCATATGTTAATGATTTTCAGATTTATATTTCCATCTTGGACCTCTCCCTTGAATCCAGATTCTATATTCAGCTACTTTCTCAATGTCTCCATGTGGAGATCTGATATAATTTGAATCTGTGTTCCCACCTAAATTTCATGTTGAAATGTAATCCCCAGCTGGGTGCAGTGGCTCGTGCCTGTAATCCCAGCACTTTGGGAGGCCGAGGCAGGAAGATCACCTGAGGTCTGGAATTCAAGACCAGCCTGGTCAACATGGTGAAATCCCATCTCTACTAAAAATACAAAAATTAGCCAGGCGTGGTGGCACACACCTGTAATCCCAGCTACTTGGGAGGCTACTGAGGTTTCTAAAAAATGAGACACAACTTTTCTGAGGTTTCTGACAAATGAGTACCATCGGTAGTTGAGGATACATATTTGTGTTTTGTGGGGGGTTTCTTGGTGCTGGTGTTTTTTAATGCTGAAATTTTGTAAAATAAAATTCAAACTACATACTAACCTTTTTAATATAAAGTAGTACTTTATCTAAAGCAAGCTTGACCCACAGTTAATTAGCTGGATCATAGCCAGGAAAGTGCTAAAATGTCAAGGAAATGAAAATTGTCTTTCTATGACTCTCAGGAGTATAAGTAAAACTAAGGAATAGCTGAAAAATCTATTTTTTCAAGTATAGTGAGAAAAAAATACAGAAAAACATTCAAGAATCTCCCTAATGCTGAGAATATATGACAGCAAATTAACTTCCTGACTGTAATGAGGAATAATTGGACATACATCTGAATTTTTGTGAGATTTAATGAGACTGGAACCTTGAATGCACTTGAGATTAATTTTTTAAAGATTCTATGTTCTAGTGAAATTTAAACCTACCCTCTCACTTTTCTAGTTATGTTTTTAAGGAAGAAAAAAATAAAAATATCATATAATCAAATTTTTAAAAACTAAGACCCAGATTATAAATCAAAGGGTCACATAAATGTTCTCTGGCCTAATAGTCACGTGCATACAAATGGTAGAGTCTATGGCATGCAAATAGAAGACACAAAGTGCCTTTCGGCAATCTGCCCTTCTGTGAATATTACATTTAAGGGAATAGGCAGAATGCAGACACTAGACCCTGTCATGAATTCACCACACAGGAAGGTCAGACTTACAGTGAAGAGTTTAAATGGGATTAACTAATACCAGCTCCACTATGTCATTCCTGTCAAGTGGTCAAAATAAGGCAAGTAGAAATTACACTTCTGGGCTGGGCACAGTAGCTCACACCTGTAATCCCAGCACTTTGAGAGGCCAAGGCAGGCGGATCATCTGAGGTCAGGAGTTCGAGACCAGCCTGGCCAAAATGGTGAAAATCTGTCTCTACTAAAAATATTTAAAAATTGGCCAGGCATGGTGGCACGCACCTGTAGTCCCAGCTACTTGGGAGGCTGAGGCAGGAGAATCGCTTGAACCTGGGAGGCGGAGGTTGCAGTGAGCTGAGATCACACCACTGCACTCCAGCTTCGGTGATAAGAGTGAGACTCCATCTCAAAAGAAAAAGAAAAGAAATTACATTTCTGATTTTACCACTTGGCTGTTGCACATTCCTGAATTAATCCTCTCAATTCTTCTAGAAATTATGGCAAAAAGATGTAAGCCTGCTTTAGAAATACTTATGTATTACAATGTGATAGGGATGAGGAAATTACTTATCTTACTAAATATTACTCCATATTCCATGAGGAAGCATGTCCCAATTTTCATTTTATTTTGCCTATAAAAAAGCAAAACGATGATCAATTCAATATTTTCAGGTAGTTATGACCACCTCCTGAATTTATGGGCATCCACTACAAAAGGAGACCTAGATATCCTCAGATATGTGAGATCTTACAGAACCTTGAGAGTCAAGAGCCCTGTGTTCTCACTTCATTTTGGGCACTAACCAGCTTTGTGACTTTGGATAAGCTTCAAAATTTTTCTGTATTATTTATCTATGGCTGCTTAACAAATTACCCCAAGCATAGAGGCTTAAAACAACAAACATATTATCTCACAGTTTCTGTGGGTTAGAAATTCAGGAATAGCGTAACAGTTCCCAGAGGACTCAGGGATTCTCAAGAGGTTGCAATAAAGATGTCAGCTGGAACTGCTGTCATCTGAAGGCTTGACTGGGGTAGGGGGATCTGCTTCTAAGCTCACTCATATGGTTGCTGGCAAGAGGCTTCAGTTCCTTGCCATGTGGGTCTCTCCAAGGTTGTTCATGATATGGCAGCTGGCTTCCTCCAGAGTGATGACCTAAGAACAAGAGGGCAACTAGACAGGAGTGAACAGTAGCCTTTAAACCTAATCTCAGACATAACATATTTCTGCTGTATTCTACTCTTCACATAAACTGACCCTGGTACACTGCAGGAGGGTACTACACATGGGTATGGAATATCATACAGTAGGGATCACTGGGGGATATCTTGGAGGCTAGCTACTGCTCTCTGAACCGTCTCTTTATCCATAGAGTGAGATCTTTGAACTACATGATCTTTGAGGTTGGCAAACTCTTCTCTGCCCAGTGCTACCCCCAGACCTTGCTTTTCTACTCTCATGTCAAAATTCCTGCTTCTTTTAGCTTTAAGCCATTTGACAATACCAACCTCTACCCCACCTTGTTGCTGTTATTTGTAGACTTCTGGGCCATGAGACAATTGTTCTCCTCACTCCAAGTCCTGCCATCACTCTAGGACTTCCATGTCCTCGTGGATGACCCATCCCAAACCATGAACTTTCAGCTCCTTGACATTCTCATCTCTAATGCCTTTCCCATCCACTCCATTTCAGTACCCATCACCCACATCAACACCCTAAATTTGTCATCACCAAAACTGTTTAACTTCATAAACAACAAATCCAATCATCTCAACTCTCTCACTGTAACTTCCTATTCTTCCAATTCTCTCATCAACTATTCCCAAGAGATAGGTCCCCAGACCTTATTGGAACCTCCAAGAAATTGTCACTTCTACTTTCTCCGTATCAGCTCCCTCCTGTCTTCATTTCCACTTCATATCAGATTTTAAAGTCCATCCCTTGAGCCACTTTCTGAACAGATTCTTCAATTCCTTTAACTCATAGTCCTTTCTTCACACCTGAAAGGAAAAACCTTAGTTTTGATTGATTTCTAATGACTACCTTTCTATTACCGACAACCAGGTTACTGAAGGTTGCTGGAGAAAATCACATAACAGTATAGATTGGATACATGGTAATCAAATTCCAAAGCTGCCCACTAGTTTCACAGTCAATGTTTCCCTAGGTAGCACTCCAGCCTGGGTGACAAAAGCAAGACCCCATCACAAAAAAGGAAAA